AATAAATGAACTATATTTAATTCCCCATACAGAAACTATTTTTTTAAAAGTTTGATGTATTATGAGTAAGCTATCAAAAATCGAAACCAAAAATAGGTAGGGCTTCCCTGGTTGCTCAGTGGTAAAGAATCTACCTGAAATTCAGGGGATGCAGCTTCGATCCTAGGGTTGGGAAGATCCCCTGCAGGAGGGCATGGCAACCCACTCTAGTATTTTTTCCTGAAGAAACCCCATGAGCAGAGGAACCTGGTGGGCTACAGTCCACGAGAATGTAAAAGAGTTGGACACAACTGAGTGACTAAGCATGAAAGGTATTACAGATGAATATTTATGTTGAATATTTTTGGGGGGTTGTGATATTTTTGAGCCTTTTACAATCTATAATTCATGTTTCCTTTCTCCTACCTATTTGTTAATATTCAGTCTCCCTTGGCAGGTTAGTGTAACCCTTGGGCTTCCAGTATGGACTCAATATCCACCACACAGCAGTCTGAAAGCACTCATCAGTGATTCGCTCCATAAAATATGGACTAAAAGGTAATTCTAAGAGGGGATGAGAGTTCCCTCTCTATATTTCAAAGGATGGTGTAAAATGACATATAATTTCATATACCATTTTAACTTTCAAACTGTACATGAAAAAAATACCAGAGAAAGTACTCACTGAAAATCTTGTAAAAAAGAATGTGTATGTGCTCAGTCATGTCCTACTCTTTGCGACCGAATGGACTGTAGCCCGCCAGGCTGCTCTGTCCCCGGGATTTCCCACGCAGGAACACTGGAGTGGGTGCAATGTCCTTCTCCAGGGCTCCTTCCGACCCAGGGATCAAACCTGCATCTCCTGCACCACAGGCAGATTCTTTACCACTGAGCCGATGGGGAAGCCTAAAAAGGAATGTAATATATTTCCTACCCAAATAATGGCAGGGATATGAGAGGTCTGGTCATATCCCCCACTCCTGAGAGTAATATTAAATCTAGTGCAAAAAGGAAGAAACCCAAGTATCTGTCGAAGGCAGAAGAGCAAATAGAAATAATAGAGTGGAACAGCATGCAATTATTTGGAAAGATGTTCTTTTCTAAAATAAAACATGAATAAGGATTATAGATAGATGCACTCTCTTATGTGTATATGTACATACATATGTATAGGGGACTCCCAGGATGCTCAGTGGTAAAGAACCCATCTGCAAATCCCTGGGTTGGGAAGGTCCCCTGGAGAAGGAAATGTCAAACCGCTCCAGGATTCTTGCCTGGAGAATTCCACTGACGAGGAGCCTGGTGAGCAAAGTCCACAGGGTCACAGAGAGTCAGACACGACTGAAGTGACTAAATCACACACACACACACGAACACACAGAGTCTACCTTCCTCCAGTAATGTGATATAAAAAGTAAGAAAAACTTATTCCTGGGACTTCCCTGGTGGGTCCAGTGGTTAAGGCTTCACCTTCCAAGGCAGGGGATATGGGTTCAACCCCTGGTCAGGGAGTGAAGATCCCACATGCCTCACAGTCAGAAAACCAAAACATAAAATAGAAGCAATGGTGTAACAAATTCAGTAAAAACTTTAAAATGGTCCTCATTCTTGCTATGTGAACACCAATTTTCTTAGTTATTTTCTAAACGTGTAGTAGTTTATTACAGGACTCCGTTTTTCCCATTTGGTCATTAAAATGATCCACTTTACACTGGTATAGTATTTTGCAGGTATCATTTTTCTTCTTCTCCTCCTGTTTCTTTTTCTGCTTCATCTTCTAAGCTCCATAATAACCTCTGTTCACATTTGTGACTTTTAGAGAGAGCCAAAATGGATAGCAAAGGAAAACGTCATAAATTCATTATGAAATTCTACTCTGTGTATTTTTTATGTATTCTCCAGCTTGCAAAGAGTATATTAATGGGGGTCTCTAATTTTGTTCTTCAGAATGAAACAGTGTTGAGTAGCTGAATTTCTGGACTCCTCAAACATTTTTCAAGCTTGACACTATCCACGTTGTATGTTGAAAGACACCTTTTACTTCAGTAAGTCAACTAATATTGTGAAAAGGAGAGGATCTTTTTTTTTTTCCCCTGTCCTGAGAGAGGACACAAATACTTTATTTCCCAGATTCTCTGGTCAAATTGCACCTTTACTTACTGTCCCTCCAATGACGGTCTGGGAAGTTCAGTGACCATCACTGCCTTACGTTGTGTCTGACTTTTTTTTGTGAAACCATGGACTGTAGCCCCCTTCTCCTCCTGCCCTCAGTCTTTCCCAGCATCAAAGTCTTTGCCAACGAGTCAGTTCTTCACATCAGGTGGCCAAAGTACTGGAACTTCAGCTTCAGCCCTTCCAATGAATATTGAGAGTTGATTTTCTTTAAGATGGGCTGGTTTTATCTCTTTGCTTCCAAGGGACTCTCATGAGTCTTCTCCAGCACCACAGTTCGGAGGCATCAATTCTTTGGCACTGAGCCTTGTTTATGGTCCAGCCCTCACATTTGTATATGGCTACTGGAAAAACCATAGCTTTGATTATACAGATCTCTGTATGGAAATAATGAAATGAATACAAATAAGGCATCAAAAGTAGCAGCATCTAATTTCTGAACCCACCAGTGCTTTCTACTAAATCACAGGCTCTTCTCATTAAAATCTGCCATGAAAATGAAACAAAATAAAACAAAACAAAACAACAGGAAAACATTACATAATATGTGATGTCTCTCTTCAAATCTCTTGTTAAGTATATACACCAGCAGCCACCTAGCATCACATAGAAAAGTAAAAGGGAAAGTGTTAATTGCTAAGTCGTGTCAGATTCTCTGCAACCCCATGGACTGTAGCCCACCAGGCTCCTCTGTCCATGGGATTATCCAGGCGAAAATGCTGGAGGGGATCTTCCCGACCCAGGGATTGAACCTGTGTCTCCCGTATTGCAGGCTGATTCTTTACTGTCTGAACCCCCAGGAAAACCTATCATATAGAAGGTCCCTACAATTTCAACTTTTAAAGGAACCAAGTCCTCATGCCAAGACCTTCATGCCAAGACCCCCAAATTTACTTATTATACCAAGTGCAGCTCATCAAGAAAAGTTTTAAAATGCAGCCATCAAGCATAACCTATATATATATATATATACACATACATACATATATGTGTATATATGAGGAAGTGGAAAAACTAGAGAATTTTTGTTTTTCATTACAGATGAATCTGCAGCCAGCTCTGCTGCCCTTCTTAAATGGAAAAAGGGGTTTCATGGAAACCCTCTTCCATAAGTTTAAAATCAAATTTGTGAAGACTTTATTAAGGAAAACCAAAACAACTTTCCATTTCTGGTTTTAAACCCAGAGCCAAATATCCTACGCTAACAAGTTAGGCTAGAGAGAGGAGCAGAGGGAGCTTTAAGAAATAATGTTTTTGATAAAAAGACAGACTTCAATTGGCTATTTAGCTTTAACTGTTGTGGGTCTTTGATACGACCTCATGGGATACAGCCCATTAAGCGATTTTATGACGACATAAGAAAGTCATCTTATTCCAAGCAGTAGCCACTCCAAATTTTCATCCCGAGTTAACCACAGTTCTTAATGTTCCATTCGTCCGGGGGAAGGCTCACCCTCAGAAACGCATCAATGAACTCTACAGATGAAGGCCTCATCCATCTTGTTTGATTTCTCATTCTGGGCCGAAGGTCAGACAACTGTATTTTATCAAAACTGACTCCCCATGCTCATTCAGTTAGCATAGAGATCACACCTAATGAAACGGGTGCCATGTTTTGGAATATCCAAGTTCCCTTTCTCACCATCAAAGGCAATCAACTAAAGTTAAACCTCTCTTCTATTTCAACCATTCGACTTCTGCCTGGGCCAGGCTTCAAGACAGAAAGAATGGCGATTACTAATACAGCCCCTGCCAGCTACATCCAGATCCTGTCTAGTTTAGATAAATGACAAATACCCTTGGGCCGTATCTGTGTTACCAACATTATTTCCATGTTTCATTCTCACTGAAGAGATGAGTGCTGTGACATACCAGTCAAATTGAGAGATGATGTATTTATTGAAGACGCTTATTTTTACTGTGGGATATCAGTAAACCTTAAATATCTCAGACTAATGGAAATCTTCCCAGTACGATGTCCAACACAATGAAAAAATTAAGGGAGGATGTGAAGAAACCAATACCGAGCCTGGCTTTACACTAATCGCCAAACCACTTAAGGTAGGAAAAGAATAATAATCCAACATGCAGATTTATATCTACCCTAGGAAGCAGGGCAAAAATCTCTTCAAGGTTACAACGGTGATAAATGATACTTCGATGTATCCACATTTACAACTGAAAACCGATAAATGCTTCAGAAGATGAAACCTTTCTTCTAGGGAACAGCAGTCTGAATTCCTTCCCCATCAAAGGAAACTAGATGGAAACTAAGATGTTTTCTGTAAAAGCTTATGTCATTTTCACTTTCTTTTTTTTTTTTAAGTTGTTAAACGATATTGACTTTTCCATTCAACAAGAGGAGCCTTGGAACACGTTATAATACCCTTAGGATGTGGTCAACTTCTTGAACGCGTTATAGTATAAAATCACACTTGAGGGAGATGTAAGTCCTAAAACGCATGACGGATATAAATGAAGGACCAGCAAATTTCTTAAGCACATCTCTTACTATCCTCTAGAGACGCCGCTTCCTTCACTTCATTTGCATGTTTAGTTCAGGTTGTGGACAGCATTCTCATAGACAGCTGCCTCCTGGCTGGCCGCCCCAGCCTCCAGTAGCACCCCTGAAGAAAGCTTCATGCACGCTTCCACCATCAGTATCTTTAACCAACTGAAACATGAACGTGTCTGTAGTCAGTTGAAAGCTCTTCAACAGGTCCAAAAGCCGCTGAAGCAGAAAGTCCCACGCGAGCATTAGTATTGAAGACAGTGCCTTGGGTGAGTTCCAATTTTATCTGCTACTATTGCCCTTTCCCGTGCCCCGACGCACTATCATCTCTCTTTACCTACTTCTGTTGGGCTGTGCGGGGTCTTTGCTCCTCTGCGGACTGCTCTCCGGTTGCGGAGAACGGGGGGCTCTCGAGCTGCGATGCAGGGCCGCGGAGCACGGGCTCCGGCGCCTGGGCTTGAGGAACTGTGGCTTGCGGGCTCACCAGCTGAGGCTCCTGAGCTCTGGAGCACAAGCGCAACAGTTGTGGCCCGCAGGCGGAGCTGTTCCGCGGCATGCGGGGTCGTCCCAGACCCGGCATCGAACGCGGGGCTCCCGCCTCGGCAGGCGGAGGCTCTACCGCTGAGCCCGTCATCTCTTACCACGCAACTGGTAGGGGCTTAAGGCGCCGTGCTCCTTCATACCTGCCGGCCGTCACTACGCTTCCTTCCGCCGGGAGGAAGCCCCTCCCCTCCTCCAGCCACCAGTCTTCTCGGTATGGCTGAGAATAGTTATTGCTCGGAGGTAAGGCAGCTGGGGCATCCCTGGATTCATGAGACTTTGTATCTGGCCCATTCTACTTTACTTTCTCCTCTAGACTGCCTCTATACCGTAACTATACTTTTATAGTATTACTCTATGTGTTCATGTTTCAGTCTTCTAATATAGTAGCACATCCCCAGGTTTGAGTTCTATTTATTTCGGTTATGGTACATGCATGTTGCTCTGACAGTATGCTGTTCAAAATGTCCCAAAGCCCATACAATTATCGGCTAGTCATTTATTTTTCTACAGATTTTTGTCACTCCACCCTTAACAGAGTGACTAAATTCTGATATCCACATGGATTACATGTGAGATATCCCTTTTACATGATTCACTGATACATGTACTCTTGAGTATCACACGTTTTAAAGTAATACAGTTTAGTGGGACTTTTTTCTCTGGTGGTCTAGCGGTTCAGATTTCACCTTCCAATGCAGAAGATGTAGGCTTGATCCCCAGTAAGGGAGTTAAGATCACACATGCCTCGGGGCCAAAAGCAAAAACATAAAATAATATTGTAATAAATTCAATAAAGACTTAAAAAAAACAATATAAACAACAGTTTAGTAATATGTTGTCATATCTCCTAGGACTGATCCTTCTTAACTGTGGTGGCTATAACTTTTAGATGTGTTTCTATCTGTCCTGAACAAGATACCCTATTTTCTGACTATTCGTAGCTAGTCTAGATTCTTCTAGATCCTTAAGTAAAGGAGCACCCTGAAGAAAAAGGAGAGAAAGTTATTTTTTTCCTTTTCCATGTTCTTTATTAGATTATAGTGTCTATATAGCAGCTTATCAAAGCCAGCTCTTTAAACAAATTAGTATCATTCTAGATTCCAGCATTATGTTACCTTCCAGGTTTAATTTTTTTAGTACTGCTGGAAGTTTTCAATATGTCTAAACTATAATTAATTTGTTATGGGTACATGGAGAAAGTTAACCCAGAGAGCCTTATTTAGGTACATTGTTTATTACAAAGGTTGGTCAAAACCCACAAAGAATTATATGTTAGGAACAAAGTAAAACAGATTGCTTAGAATAGATCAATAGAAAGATAAAGTAAGTCCTCTTGGGAAAGAAATTGGTTGCAATCTCTTAGAGTTACAAATTTAGATATTCTCAAGCTAATAATCTAACTGTTCATTTTGTTTTTCATGTGCCTGTGAAATACTATGAAAATCATAAAATGCTCTGTATCAAATTTTGAAATATAAATTTTGAATCACAGAATTCATGGGATTCTAATGAATGCTAGAAATCTAAAATCCTTTTTTGTTTTTTTGAATTCAGATATTACCCTTCCCCTTCTCTTTGATCTGAGACTGTACATGTCTGATTAGTACTGAAGTTGTGGGTCCGTTTCTTCGGGGTCTGATTTCTCATGCTCAATTTGCTGATGTTGAAATGGCTCGTATTCTACTGGGCACAAATATTCCAAACATTACTCACAGAAATTAAAGGAAAGTGGATCATATTGGAATGGAATTATTCATTCAATTCAGTGCCGTCTAACATGGCTAATTCCATGCGGGAGTCTTAAGTTTAAATAAACTTTCCACGGCAATCTATTTTCTGAAGACTTTTGCTTTGTTTGAATTCTTTTATAGAAGGACATTTTCTTCCGTATGTTTATTCTCACAGACAAATACAGGAAAAAGCCCACTTGCTCTTGTCGACCTTTCTGCTTAGTAACTATGACTTTTCTTAGCTCAGAGGTAATTCTTTATTCAAGAGGGCCTTATTTAGAACACATGATAGGCATTCAGCCTTTTCCAGTAGCTTCTGAACAGCACAGAGTATTTATTTACATTGTATAAAATTAGAGGAAATGGAGGGGGTATGCATTTGAACTAGAAGCAACAGGCTAATTCTCTTTATGGAGAGATTTCAGTCAATGTCACTTTAGGGGGGACAAAAAAAAAGAACTCGGATTACAGACATTTTAAACAATATAGATTTTTGTTACCTAACAACAAAATATATCATGTAGTCTTCTAAATAAGACCCAGGGTATGAATTAAGGGCCTTTCTTTTCTCTGGGTTGTCTAGGAGTACATTTTGAACCCTGTCTTAGCAGACTATGACATATGGAGTCATCTGTGCTGTAACAGTCCAAAGGAAAACTACTTTTGGGAAAATACTATTTAAAAAGGACTTATAAGATATGTAGCTTTATGTGAGTTTAAATATTTGCAAACAGATCTTTAATTTAAAAAAATCAGCTAACGAACAACTCATATACCTGATACAAGTGGAATTTGCACAACATTGGTTTTGATAAATACAGATAAAAACTGTTACTCTCTGTTGCTTAAAAAGTGTGAAATGTATTTATTTAACTTGAGTTTAATTGGACTTGAGAGCAAATTTACTGCAGAGAAACAACTAAGTTTGGATCAGGAAAAAAATGCTGTAAAAACATGCTCTTCATATGCAACATGAGAAAGAAATATTTCAATTGAAAGGGCAAAAATACTTTAGAGCATCTACTCATGGGATATCAATTAAGTTAAAAAATGATAAATACTAAACAAGGATATAAAAGCAATTATAGAAATAAAAGCAAAATGATTTGGCTTTGGTACAGCTACCAAAGTGGTTGAATGTATCTCCATCCTGAGAAGATCTTAGGGAGAAAAAATATGTAGTCTATTATATTCATGTGGACACTGCAAGTTGGCTTGAGAGATCATAATAATGAAGTCCCATTTAACATGGTCAATTTCCAAAGTAATTGCTTGATATAGCCAAATTCTTATTATATAAGCTCTTCTTAGAAGACATTTTATACATAATTTTGCACAAATCTCTATTAAAGATAGTCTATGTAATTTAATAAGCTCAAAGAAGAACCATTGTAAGAAAAAATAATACTGAAGCATTGTTATGTTCAACTGTATACACTCCACAACACTGAAATCCAGAAAAACAGCTTTGCTAATATAATTGAGTAAAGATTCCTAATAAAATAATTATTTAAAAATATCTTGAAAGTCAGAGTGGGTTATATATTAAAATAAACTTTGAAATATCTCAATGAGTTCTGTACTCTTTATAAGAATTCCCACTAATTATAAAAGGCAACTCTAACATACACATATTTTTAACAGAAGTTAGATATAGCAATTAATTTGTATGTTAAACATTTGTTTATTTTCTAAATTTATGCATTCACATCTTTATATAGGTATGTAATACAATGTGTGTATATATACGTGTGTGTGTATCAGTACACACTTAAGAGTATTTATCTCTAGGTAGCATGCTTACTGATCCTGTTGTTCAGTGCCTAAGTTGTGTCTGACTCTTTGTGACCCCATGGACTGCAGCAAGCCAGGCTTCCCTGTCCTTCACCATCTCCTGGAGTTTGCTCAAACTCATGTCCATTGAGTCAGTGATGCCATCCCACCATCTCATCTTCTGTTTCCCCCTTCTCCTCCTGTCCTCAATCTTTCCCAGCATCAGGGTCTTTTCCAATGAGTCAGCTCTTCACATCAGGTGGTCAAAGTATTGGAGCTTCAGCTTTAGCATCAGTTCTTCCAATAAATATTCAGGTTTGATTTCCTTTAGGATTGACTTATTTGATCTCCTTGCTGTCCAAGGGACTCTCAAGAGTCTTCTCCAGCACCACAGCTTGAAAGCATCAATTCTTCCATATAATTTTATATATATATATATATATATATATATATATAAAATCAGTTGTGGCATGCTGAATTTAGTTCCCTGACTAAGGATTTTAACCCAGGCCCCCTGCACTGGGAACGTAGAATCTTAACCACTGGACTACCAGAGAAGTCCTGACAATATAACAATATATATAGAGTCACACACACACACACACACACATAAATATATATATACACACACATATTGAAGCAAATCTTCCAAATTTTGAAAAACTGTTTAAGTCTTTTTATGTTATAGAAGAAATAGTTGTTTCTCTCCAACAGAAACCCAATGGATGGCACTTCTTCAAAAGTTATAGGGATCATGGTCAGAAGTCCTAAGCAAAGGCTAAAATCTGTGTAGAGATATAATGTCAAATTGACACGGCAATGGCTCTGTTGATATTAGCCGGGCTAATCATTTTGCTAATTGGAAAGCCCGTCCGGCCGCATTGCAAAGTCCTATCGGATTTCACTTTAACTACTCACCCAGATGATGTTTGACTCAAATGTATTACTTTATATCAACACACGGAAAGGCTGTAAAAATAATACCACATGTGCTGCTGCTTCTCTTTAATAAGTGTCTTCCTCAATTTTCCCTGTTATAATAGAGATTTTCACACTGAAAAATTACAGGTTATTTAAAGGATATCAGTTGAAAATGCGCCCATAAGATCCTGGAATTAAATGCAGCTACCGGCACGATGCTTGGTATCATTAACCTGTCAGTTGTCTTTAAGAAACTCCATTCACATGGACCTGTGCCCGATTTCCTGTTCAAGAAGCCCCGTAGCTTTTCCATCTGCTTCCTTCATACAAATAACGTGGCTTCATCTCGAAAACAAATTTGTGTTTTTAAATAAATTCACTCAGTTTCTGCCTTTGTCAGTATTTATAAATCAGATACTTGTGGATGTTTTCAGGTGGCAGATGATAAGCAGGGCTATTTTATTTCAGCTGAAACTGAGTTATTTTGATGAAGCGGTAGACAGGGTAATGTCAAAGAGGCTGCATAACTTTTAAGAAGCAGAACCACTTACTGGCTGATGGCTTCCATCCATTTCTTCCTGTTATTAGTGATTTTCATCTTCAAAGTTAAAAAAAAAAAAGATTGCAGAGTCATCATTGTAGACGTGGGTCGGTAATTAAAGCCAGC